CAGTTTCCGTCAGGCAAGCTATTGGTCCGCTTCCTTAGTTTGATAGAGATCGTTCCGATGAATCCTGCCATTTGATACGAGATGGGGGACGTCATTGCTTACGCCAGCTGATCACGGATGCTCCTTTTACTGCAGATTCTATTTCTACTCAGGCTTTAAAGAAGCCCAGTTTTCTGTTCGGAGATCACATTGAGGATCCAGGTAGGTTGATTCTTACTGATGAGCATTGGCTGAATAATGATGAAGGAGCTCTCCTGTATATTCCTTCTATTCCTCGTCAGCATTCTTTCACTCATTTAGAGGGACAGGCCGTAAAGCGACAGATGTCCTGGCATCTTACCGACGATGTTGATCGAGTTCATTGTGGATATACCTCCCAACATAAGACTCCTGGTTCTGTTGGGAATCATTATGTTCGCGGTCTTCGACCAGGGATTCTGGGTCTTGATACTGCACCCCCAGGCGAGGTATCAGCAGCCGCTCCTACTGTGAAGAATCGTCTGGCTAAGCTTGGAGGAGGTTACCTCCACCAGATTTTAGGTGTTTTGGTTGGGCTTTCTCACAACCCAAAGGATGGTGGACGCGTATGACCAGTTATGTGTTAGGGCGTTGGGAGAATGATCTGAAGAGCAGTGGGTTGTACGCACCTATACGAGCCACTATGTACGGACTCCCGGTCAGCTGTCGCCACTTCTTAGCATTGTTAGAAACATACATCCCTGATAGTAACACATTCCTGACTAGCGGCGGAGAGTTAGGGTTGGCCTTGCATGAGATGTACCAAGTTTCTGGCCTTCCAATGGGGGATTGTCCGTACCAGGAGTATTTTCCCTCGAATTAGCAATTGGAGTGGCTGAAGAAGGACACCCCTGATATGTACGATACTCTTTGGGATCTTACCTGCCATTATCACACCTCTCTGATTAAGGTTACCACTCAAGCGAAGAGGAAGAAGCAGATCAGTTTGAAGCAGTTCGCTGTTTATTTGTTCCAGCATTTGGAGGGTAATTCTGGCGAGACCATATGTGAGTTAGACGTTTTGACACCTTCCGCCGTTAATGAGTTGATGGAGAGGGCTGAGGCTTGCTCTTACACCATTGCCAGTGCTGAGGGAGCCTTTCCTGCAGGAACCAAGTTTTGGACATTCCTTTGTCATGCACAGAAGTCCATTGAGCCCAAAACCCTGCTAGCAGGCTATCTTGCCCTCTGGTTGAAGAAGTGTGTCATTCCATATCAGTTTTCAGACGCCTTACCCCTCGAGGTGCTCTTCCCCGCAGTTCAGCTGGCTTATGGGAGGGATCTTTCCTTGCTCCCAGCAATGGTTGCTGGCATCCATTGTGGGCTTATGTATTTGGTCGATGGTTTTACGCAGGTGGGCTCTGAACCGTCGGCCGATCTTATTTGTGCGAAGGTCGAACTTCCGTATGCATACCTGATGGCGTGGCTTGTTCTTCATCGTCCTGACTTGATGTCGGCGCCCAGCACTGTTGATGTCCTTGTTCCTTTCATGCAGCTGTTGAAGAGGAGCAGATGGCTCGGGAAAACATTCAGTGATGTACAACGAGAGCTTCAAGTTCGTAAGAGCTGGGAGTTCTTGAAGTGTTTTCCTCGCTTTTCGGGTCGCTATGGTGATGTGCTGATTGATGAGGAGCAACCCAGAACTAGTCGGACTTCTCTTGACGTTGGTTGTTTCCGTTGGTTGGTGAACATCCGCGTTGGATATCTCATTCTTCGGGTGAAGAACCATTGTAACATAGAGCCTTACCTTCCCTGTCGTTTCGCTCGTCAGTTTGGCTACGACCAACTATATGTTGGGAATCCGAGCCGTGGTTTGAAGATTGAGGGAGGGCTTATTGACGGCGTTCGGGCATGGCTATGGACTATGGTGGGCTGCACTTGAGCCCCATCTAGGCGCAAGCCGTTGACCACTTTCCTCAGCTGCAAGTGGTTTCTTTCTGCCAGTGAGTTTATAGGTGTGAGAAGCCTTTCAGAGTTGCAGGCTGAACACTTGGTTCAAGTCACTATGATGGCTGCTCGTAAGGCTGAGGTTGCTAAGAGACAGGGTAAGAAGCCTGCCAAACCTTCCCTTTCGAGCAGAGATAGGATGGAGGATGATGAAGAGCTCCTTCCTACTGGCGATGAGGACGAGACTTCTGAGGAGGAGTATGTGGATACAGATACTAACAAGGAAGAACCTAACGCAGGTTTGTCAGACTCTTTCTTTTCAGAATTAACTGACCTGGCCTTCTTTCGTTGGCATCAACGTCATATCCTTTCTCGATCTCAAAAAAACAGAACAAAAAGTCTTATTCACTTATCCTAACAAGATAACTCTTATCACCCCAGGTAGGACAGTCGATGAGCATGAGTCGCTCGCTTCTCGCTAAGCGAGATCCCGGCCTAGCGGCAAGGCTCCTGCACAGGTCGAGATGCGTAGCAAGTTCATGCATGAACGGCCTATTGGTTCTACGAGGGTTGGTATTCCGAAACGGAAGAAGACCGCTCATAAACCACATGTTGGTCGGCGCCCCTATGGAGTGGAGTTAGGAGACATTGCCGATGGAGAGGAAGGTAATACCTTATTGTCTTTATTGCTTTAAGATGACTTGCCTCCTGGGATTCATTAAGCGTAATCATGTTTTATGTTTCAGGAAACTATGAAGAGGGCGAACTTCCACAGGATTCTGTATTCCCTGATTCTGATCGTCTGGATAGCTTTATGCAACAGATGTGTGATGCCATTCACGACGAGCCCATGGATGTTGACACGAACATTGATACTGAGCAGATTAATAGTGTTGATCCCACAATTCCATGCTTAGGTATATCTAAATCCGATGATACCCTACTCGAGTAGCACTTAGAAGAGTTATGGAATTCAGGATTCATTATTCTCATGCTTTGCTTTCTTTCAGATCACTTGAAGAACCCAAACATGGATATTGGGGAAAAGGAATCATCTGTTCCTACTGCAGGTACCTCTGAGCTTTTCCTTCTTTCCCCATTTTCTTGTATATATCCAACACTTATTCCTACTGCAGGTACCTCTGAGCTTTTCCTTCTTTCCCCATTTTCTTGTATATATCCAACACTTAAATTATTCTGCAGATCCCCATTTTCTTGTATATATCCAACACTTAAATTATTCTGCAGATGTCGTATTAGAGAGGCCAGTTGAAGATGAGGCCTTTCCTGATACAGGTCTTGAGGAACAGGGGTATGTCTCGGCACCAAGTTTCTCAGGATCCGATATCGGACTATTAGTCGACATGCTGGTTGAGCAGGCCACGAGAGGAGCCGTAGGACCCTCCTTTGAGAGTGATTCATCTGCAGGTATATATCTAGTTCCCTTCATTTTGCCTGATCTTTTGTCTGACTAATGAAGAATTATCATTACAGTACAGTCATTGGGACTGATTCAGTTATGATTCCGGGCATCTCTAGTTTACCCCGGGGCGATGGACTTGCAGGTATGTATATAATCTAGGACGTCGTGCTCCTTTTCATTTGTCTTATTTTTTTTTTTGACTAACGGAGGAGTGCAATCATAGGACCAGCTACCGGGACTGATACTCTTATGACTCCTGGCGTTTTCTTCAGAAGCACAGATATCAATATGTCATCAAGATTTCTTAGTTCTCATTTCCACCTTAGTTTTCGTGCTCTGTATCCTCCAGGTCTTATATTCTTTCTTGACAGGCATATGCGGTATGCTACTCACTAGCTGCAGAGATCTATAGATTATGCAGATAATTGTTCCCATATATTGAAACATTTAGCATCTTGAACTTAAATAGAGTACAACTGTAGGATTCTCATCTTTGGCATCATAACTAGTTTCAACCTACCATACCTCCACAGTTACACTGGTCCAAATTATTGGATAGAGATCTGATAGCATTTTCTCTCGAGCTGCATTGAGCAGAGAAGTCAGAGTAAATCCCTTCGTGCGCCAAAGAACTGATCTGCCTTTAATAGCCTATCCTAAATACTTATGTATAGACCACAAAATTTATGCCACACACCTGTGGGGTTGGCTACAAGAATCCTTATCTTTTATTTAACTCTAGTGAGAGCGACCTCCTTGATTTAATTAAAAGTACATTCTAATTGTCAGTACCCTTAGCTTTACTGTTTGTGATTCCGTCAGTATGATTCAGCCGATTGTTAATTTCACTGAAAATATCATACCCCTCTATTCAGAATGCCAGTTGACCTAGGACTGGATAGTTTGGGAGTTCCACAGTCTCACCCTTATTATATGAGGGTGAATATTTTCGCTAAAGATCTGTAGTTCACTACAGCGTACTACCCTAAGTGCTCATCTTCCCTACAGGAGAAACAAAACTGTTGAAGTTTTGTGAGATAAGGATAGGAAGGGCATAGTAGCCAAGGAGCTTTCTTGGAGAAACAAAACTGTTGAAGTTTTGTGAGATAAGGATAGGAAGGGCATAGTAGCCAAGGAGCTTTCTTATAGCAGGAAAGAAGTTGAGTTGCTGGAACAGGAGGCTAAAGATAAGTACGGCCCCTTCAACCGTTAACAAACATCAGAAGTGGAAAGTGGTATAAAGAACACCATTTGAACTTGTTCTTTCAGGACCATTTGCTACTTTGCCGTTGATTACAGTAACTTTTTGAGTCTTTCGTTTTCTTTTTATGCATGCTGGTGGAGAGAAATTTCACCAATAGTATCTGTAAATTTAATCTGTTTCATTTTCGAAATTTGTTTATTATTTAGTCGTAAATAACCAAATTTTACTGATCTCTCAAGTCTGAAATGGCTCAGACAGTGATCTTCTTTATTATAATGCATGAGGCTCCATTATTTTGAAGGCTTAACTATGTTAAAACTGATAATTATAGGTTAACTAGAAGAAATTATCTTGAACAGTTACTTTTAGTCAGTATTTCTAGTCACTTCTGAAATAGTTATATTATTCTGTTATATGTCAATGTATTTAATGTTTTTAGAAGGAAACTCATATCTGTAATAATTCTGTATGCAGGGAGTTACTCTACTTATACTCCTGTTATATACAGTTTTTCCACTTGCATATGAAGGTTTCCATCTTTATTGGAAGAATCACCTGAACAAGCTAAAGGTTAGCTTATTGCTTAGTAGTTTCATTATTTCGTTCTGAAATTATTGTTATGTATGGATTTGGTATTGATTAGGCAATGCTTGTACAAATTCTATTCTTGTTCATCTCTCAAGGGTTTTGAGGTACAAATAAAAAAGAGTTAATTGCGACCTTCTGTAGTATCCCCCAATTGCAGATAGACTTTGGGTGATTCTTTTTTACTCCAAAAAGAGTCCAAAAAAGTTTTATATGGGCGTTTATACCTCCTCTAGTTCTATTGGTGCAGATAGACCCCCAATTGCTAACGTTCTTGACTCTTAAAAGAGGAGTAAAGTCTAAAGACACTTGCCTTAGGCAAGTGTCCTTAAGACACTTTCTCAAAAAATGAAAGGGGTTGTTGGGTTCAAAATCTATAGGGTTAGATTTTGGGTCAGGTTGGTTTTATTAGACACATGTCCCCTCCTAATAGAGTGAGAGCGACACTCGACTTGGGCGAGTGTCGCTAGAAGTGCTCCTTAAAGAGATAAACAAGTTCACTGAGTGGTTTTATCTGCTCTTAGGCATAATATACAAGGGGGCTATCCGCAACAATAGAACTACAAGGTTTCTTTCCGCAATTGGACAACACTACAAGAGGCTCATCCGTAATTAACTAAATGAAAATATATACTTCAACATTCTTTGCAATTTTCCATGCTAATGTATAGTAAGCTTTATTCTCACAATGTTATATCGGCTTCTACATAGAAAGAATGTTATATCATTAATAACATAGCCATGTTGATAGTTTCCAACTTCAAAAAAAGGCGTGTTGACTTTGGTCGCATGTTGAGCTGATATTTTGTTTCTATGAGGTGTTGACTACATTAAATCATGCGAAGGAGCTGTATATTAATTTATTGAAGAAGCACATGAATACATTCTGCAAGACACAACTCCTACTTGAAAGATTAAATGTATTAAACTCCACATATACATGGCTGTCAAAAATTCAAAGAATGTTATATTATTAATAAATCAAGCATTATATTTTCTCACCCACACTGGTGCCTTTTTATTTGACTGATAAGTAATGACGAAGACAAAACCTACCACATATCTTTTTTTTCTCTTTGCCTTCATTTTTCTTCTTCATCCTCTTCTTCTTTGTTTGGGTTGGGTAAGGTCACGACTTGCAAGCATTCCCTGTTTCTTGGTGAGAATTCGGCACCAAAGTTACCATAATTCTAATTGAAGCAATTTGAACTGAGAAATACTACGGTTTTCATTTGGAATGTAATCCATCCTGAATTGTAGACTTAGTTAGTTATCTATTACGTGACATGTAAATACATGATAAACTGAAAATATCAGTTAAAGTGACTATCACTATCACGACCTAAGTCCATCAAGAATTGAAGGTACACTGTACAAGACCATTTAGTTTACACTAACTATTGTTCAATTTTATTTTATTTTTTGCGTCCGATCAGATGGTGGAACTTGTAGCTGACTAGTCTAGCACGAAGTGGATACAAGTTCAAAATCACAAATTTACCATCATCTTTCCATTCTGGGGGACTGAATTTATAATTCAAGTTTAACGTGAAAGCTATTTGCAAGTTCCTTTTTGCAACTTTAGAAATATAAGTCTGAAAAGCAAATTAGTGATTTCATGATTTTCTTTAGAATATTCTCTCCATCCAAATTTGCTAATGGAATCTAAACATATCAGTATATGTTTCTCTTGGTTCTTATTCGGATATAATTGAATAAAAGATTATTAATAATTAAAAATCCAATATTACAGAGTGTAAGATCCTTTCTTAGAACTAAGATTGAAAGTACCTTGTTGTGTTATATGAACACCTTGCCCCTTGAACATTATCACCCACTCACATAAAATCTAAATCTATGTTGGCAACTTATACACCCTTATCGAGTTGAATCTGTAACCTCTTTTTACTGGGATCCAGCTGAATGGTTAGTCATTGCTAGCCATGATGACCAAGATTATTACAAACAGGAACTGCAATGGTTGAAATTTTTGAAGTGAAAGTACTTTTTTGGTGTTTTAATGCGATTGAAAAAATGTAACTCTTCTACTGCATTGGCAGGTCTTGCTTGTCTTAATATTGATGTGTGATATGTTGGTGTATGCTCTTTATGTTTCTCCCCTGGTGGTGGCTTATATACCTTTCAGATTTGCTCCATATATCCGCGTGGCCTTTTTGGCTTTGACAATAAGGTAAAACCTTTGCTTTTTTTTAACTGTTTGGAAACACACATTTTCATTCTATCCTTTAGTCCATGGATTATTGACATTATGCACATTACTTTTGAGTGACCCATTCAACCCTAGAATAAGAGGAAGCTATAGGTTTGAGTACATTAGGTGATGTAATTCTATAAATCGATGAAGAGTTTTAAATAAGTACACCTTAATTAATCTTTATATACCGAAATTAGCCTTCCTCGTGGTGAAAGAGACTCCACAAAACTTTTACACTGATGTGGAGATAATAACTCCAAGCAACTACACTTGCAGATGGGAATCACACATTACCAGGTTACATGGAAATGGGACACAGTTATCAAGTAACTATATCTCTTACAATGCCCATATATAAGGGGGTCTCCTAAAAATTAGATACGGTGACATAGCTATATTCCATTGATGTGCATGCAGGTATTGACAAATCCATTAGTGTGATGTGTAATCAACTAAACAAATTGTGTTGGATCTCACGCACATAGTCTTGAATGTTTATTTGACAAAATCTAAGTATCAATATCATGCATATGTCTCAAGATTGCAATGGAATTAGCATATTTTCATAATTTTATCACTTAGACAGTCTTTGGATTCTAGTCAATTGCAAGACTGTATGACAAATCAAAACACGTTAAGCTTGATGGTAAATAGTTAATACCTACCATTGCATAGTTTGATCCAGAGGCAAGCACATGTGGTACTTTGAGCAAGAGAACTTCTATTCAAGAGGAAGATTTCGAGAAGTGGAAGTAACCCTCTAACTAAGGCACTGATGCAAAGAGGGACAAGACACCTGCATTTTAGATTGTAGGAAGAACAAATGACATAATAAACTTCTCCTCCTCCTACGCCATCGGTACTTCGAAGCTCCTCCCTCGCCTCTCACCATTGGCGGTTCAGTGCTTCGGCGGTCGCTCCTCAATCGCGCGATCTTTCTCTATCTCTCTATATATATGTATGTAGGTAGGTAGGTTGCATGCATGCACACATAACTATTATGCTCTTGGGAGGGACGCAAGGTGGTTGTCGCTCAAGCAACTGTGGAAGCAGACTCCGTGAAAAAGTCGTGTGCAGCAAAGAAAGTAGGAAGATTGAAATCAGTGCTTCCAAAGTAGAATTATCATATGGCGCAACAAAGAAATGTAAGGGATTCCATTACCTCTTCGATGAACTCTGAGTCTAAGCTTATGACTTCGAATTCTGAGGTGAAAAGATTGGAGTAATCTTCCATTTTATAAAGTGCACGCGGCCTTCCACTAAAATGGGTTGGAACGCCTATATGCCCAATCTATGTAGGGTAGGTGCTCTATTCGATAATACAGGTTGCCCTTGCATAACTTCTTGAAGTATTTTAGGCCAGTCGACATACTGGTCCGCCTGTTTTAAAGCGATTGTTTGCGGTGATTGATGAAGTGGAGAAGGGAATAGCTTGCGAATGCACACTCACTAGAAAAAGATTCTACGACAGGGACTCCATTCTTTGAAGTAAGGGGAACAAAAATCTCCTCCCGTATTTTCTAACCCTATGTTCTGACAGGGACTCCATTCTTTGAAGTAAGGGGAACAAAAATCTCCTCCCGTATTTTCTAACCCTATGTTCTTCTTTTTCATGCTTTAAGATTAGTAATAGGAGATAATTGATGCAATTTTTATTTCTTTAATTATTTTTTATTTTTGTGGGGTCCATTGTGTCCCTAACTCGTTATTAGTTTTAAAGATTTATTATTATTATTCCAAAAATAAAAGAACGAATAGAAAATTTTCTATAAATTTAATTTTTTTATAGTTCGGAAATAAGAAAAACAACAAAAACGAGGGTTGTAGGTGGCATAGTTAGGATGACAGAGAAATTTTAAATAGAATATATTTTTTAAAAGGATAGATGAGGTGTAGGTGGCATAGTTAGGATGACAGAGAAATTTTAAATAGAATATATTTTTTAAAAGGATAGATGAGGGACTGAGGAAAACATCTCTCTTCTTGGCACTTTTTGTTTAAATTTTTACAAAAAAGAATGGAGGGTTAGCAAATCACAGTTTAATTTTTCTAGTAATGAGGTTTGCTTATCTTTTAATTTTGTTCACCAAAAACTTAAAAAAGAAGAAGGAAGTTGAGCGAAGTTATACTGAAATGAAAAGATCATGGATTTGAGGACATTAATAGCTGAAACTAATTTAAAAAACAAAATCAATTATAAATATTTTTATGGTTGGGTAATCAAGTGAGTGTGAATGGCAGACACGTGAGCCAAGTTCACGTGGCCTTGGGCCCACCCGAACTGAAAATCGTGAACGAATTCACATGAAGAGATTGAACACAGCGGCTTAGGCCCACCCGATTCATTCACCTGCTATAAATAATAGCAAAAAAATCCTAGGTCAGTGTGCGAAGGCTAAGGGGGGAAATGGCTGCGTGCAATTGTAGGCGTGTGCGAGCGAGGTCAGAGGCTTTTAGGGAGATTTGTGCGGCTGCAGCAGTGCAAATTTGAGGAGGTGCAAAAGTGTTGGCAGCGTTCTTTTTGGACGGCGTGCAAAGAGTTCTTTTGTGTTTTTGAGAGACATAATTGTGTGAGGGTTTAGATTGAGTGATTGTAAACCCTAGTTATATTATCTCTCCCTCTAATAGTAGATCTCCCCCTCCTTGCCCCGTGGACGTAGGCAGTTTGCCGAACCACGTAAAATTGATTTGTTTGAGTTTGTGGCCATTGTAATAGTTTTAGGATCCCTCGACGCGCAGTCCTAGAGCTGACGAGAGGAAGAGCAAATATCCCACTTTGATGGGATATTAGGCTTTCAGATTCTTGTTCCCTTTGAGAAACAAGAATTCTTATCGATCTTTCTCTCTTATTGTGCACCAGAAACTCTGCCGAAATTTCCGCTGCGCACAACAAGTGGTATCAAAGCCCAGATTCCAGATCTAGGGTTTGGTTGGAGGAGTAGATCAATTTGGAGGCTCGTTTAGGGCTTCGTTGGTGATAAAGGTGGGATCTTTTGGTAAAGACTCTATCTTTTTAGTTTTGGATCTATCCTTCGTTCGTTGGTGCGTAAGATGTCAGGGAAAAAAGGTGCTTCTGGTGTCGAGGGTGGTGCTTCTGGCGCGAAGACCATTCAGAGTTTGAATATACACTCTATGAAGATAGATGTGGAGAAGTTTAATGGCACAAATAATTTTGGATTATGGAGATGCGAGGTTTTGGATGCGCTGAACGCGCAGAATTTGGAGGATACTTTGGAGTTAGATGGCAAGCCAGATGAGATTGAAGAAAAGGTTTGGAAGAAGATGAATCGAACGGCGTGTGGTGTGATTAGGTCTTGTTTGACTCAAGATCTAAAATATGATGTGATGAATGAGACTTCTGCGAAGAAGATTTGGGAGATTCTCGAAAGCAAGTATTTGACCAAGAGTGTGGAAAATCGCTTGCATTTGAAGAGGAGACTTTATCGTTTCCAGTTGAAGAAGGGAACCTCCATTAGAGATCACATGAACCACTACACAAAGCTTCTTGCGGATTTGGCGAATGTGGATGTCAAGATTGAAGATGAGGACAAGGCGTTGCTGTTGTTGAGTTCCTTGCCCGACGAGGAATATGAGACCTTCGTTCTTACTCTGATTAATGGGAAGGCATCACTTTCGTATAGTGAGGTCACCGCTGCACTTGTGAATTATCAGCTTCGAAAGAAGGATAATGAGGCTTCAGTTAAGCCGGTAGCGGAGGCGTTGGTCGCAAGAGGGAATGGTCCAAACCGAAAGAATTGGAAGTCACAGTCTAGAGTAGGAAAAGATCAGTGTGCTTGGTGCAAGGAGACTGGTCATTGGAAGAAAGACTGCCCAAAGCTCGACGAATAGATGAAGAATAAGCAGAAGGGAAAAGGGAAGCAGCCATCATCAGAAACAAACATCGTATCGGATGGTAATAATTTTAACTCTTCTATTTATTCACTTTCTATCATTCCTACAGATAGCTATTCGGATGAATCTGAATGGATGTTGGATAGTGGTGCGACCTATCATGTGTGCCCTAGAAGGGAATGGTTCTCCAGTTTTGAGAAGCTGGTGGATAGTGGTGTGGTGTACATGGCTGATAACCGTGCATGTCAGATCCTTGGGATAGGAAGAATTCGCATAAAGATGTTTGATGGGACTGTTAGAGAGTTAAACGATGTGAGATATGTTACTTCTTTGAGGAAGAACTTGATCTCGATTGGAGCTTTGGTTGGAGAGGGTCTGAAGGTTCGTGTTGAGGACATGGTTCTCGAGATTGCGAAAGATTCTCGTATTTTGATGAAGGGCGTCAGGAGAAATAACCTGTACTACTTGACTGGAGGTATAGTGACAGGTGGACAACTGACGACTTCTGTTGATTCGACTAGACTGTGGTATTTTGGGCTTGGCCATTCCAGTATTGATTCCTCGCATAGATTGAAAGAGGGTGCGAAGACCTGCAGTTTGAAGTCCAGTGAACATGTTGATGTGAGCAAGAAGACCGAGGTGAAGTGTGGCACCTCTATTCACCGTACTATGGGTCGTTCTGGAGGAGTTCACGTGGATGTTTGGGGGCCTTCCAAGGGGGCATCATTGGGAGGTAATAGGCGTTTGGTTTCCTTTGTTGGTGACTGTTCTAGGCGTGTTTGGGTTGCAACCAAATCCCCTATGGATAAAGTCCTAGTAGTCTCCAACAAATTGAAGAAGTGTGATATTGACAGAAAGGTGAAGGTACTCCATTCTGGATGGACCTATTTCTGTATTGGAGCCGAGCTCACGGCATTTCGAGACACTTCGTTGGAAAGGAAATCTTGGGGCAACTAGATAGGGTGACAAATTTGGAGAACCGTGCCTTGCTGGAGGAGGATCGGTGTTTGTGGTCGAGCAATGGTTTGCAGAAGAGTTTCTGGATAGAGGCTTCGACATATTTGGGTCATCCTATTAAAGAGTTGTCAACTGCTGTGATTGGAGGTAAAACTCCATTGGAAGATAGGTCTGGTAGTGTCACTTTGGTTGAGGCTTCGATGAGGGAGCTAATTGACTCTCAGCAGGTGGAGAGTTTTGGACAGACCTTAGATGTATCGCAGGGGGTGGAGAGTGATGCTACTCCATATTGGATGAAGATTACTCCAGATCATTCTGCATTGGTTTGGATTCCAGCTGAGGTGACACAGCGTGGAAGTCATTTGGATTCGGATGCAGATGATGAGTTGGGTTTTGATTCGAGTATAGCTGATAGATGTAGCTTGGATATGGTCATTGGTTCACCTCAGGTGGAGGTGTTTGAGGCCATTGGAGGTGCTATCAGCTGCAGAGTTGATGATATTGGAGAAGGGTTGCGAACTCTTCTATTGGATTGAGGTCGTTAGCGGCCATTTAGGTGAACTACGTTCGGCTTGATTCCTTGGGCAAGAGGATACGTAGGCAGTCTTATGATGCAGCCGGGTTGGATTATTTGATGGGGGGTGACATCGATTTGGTGAGTTGATACCGATATTTGGAGAGTGTTTGCACTCTCATTTGGGTTCTCGACTTGTTATGGATTGAGTCTGTTGTCGTGAATTGTTTCACAGTGTACTGGACACAACAAGTGAGACATTTGGTTTGGTTGGTGTCGGCTCAGTTTTGGGAAAACTTCACCGAGGTGGAGAATTGTGAATGGCAGACACGTGAGCCAAGTTCACGTGGCCTTGGGCCCACCCGAACTGAAAATCGTGAACAAATTCACATGAAGAGATTGAACACAGCGGCTTAGGCCCACCCGATTCATTCACCTGCTATAAGTAATAGCAAAAAAATCCTAGGTCAGTGTGCGAAGGCTAAGGGGGAAAACGGCTGCGTGCAATTGGAGGCGTGTGCGAGCAAGGTCAGAGGCTTTTAGGGAGATTTGTGCGGCTGCAGCAGTGCAAATTTGAGGATGTGCAAAAGTGTTGGCAGCGTTCTTTTTGGACGGCGTGCAAAGAGTTCTTTTGTGTTTTTGAGAGAGATAATTGTGTGAGGGTTTAGATTGAGTGATTGTAAACCCTAGTTGTATTATCTCTCCCTCTAATAGTAGATCTCCCCCTCCTTGCCCCGTGGACGTAGGCAGTTTGCCGAACCACGTAAAATTGATTTGTTTGAGTTTGTGGCCATTGTAATAGTTTTAGGATCACTCGATGCGCAGTCCTAGAGCTGACGAGAGGAAGAGCTAATATCCCACTTTTAATGGGATATTAGGCTTCAGATTCTTGTTCCCTTTGAGAAACAAGAATTCTTATCGATCTTTCTCTCTTATTGTGCACCAGAAACTCTGCCGAAATTTCCGCTGCGCACAACAGTGAGACCATTTTTAAACGGACAACTTTAAATGTGTGGATGGGAAGCATCCATGTCACCAAATTTCTACTTGGTACCAAGCACCAAATTTCTACTTGGTACCAAGCATACTCATTTCTCTCTCTCTCTCACACGTACACGCACACACAAATTTCTCATGAAGAGGAGAGGAGATGGTTCGATTGGGGAAATACACACTGATTTTTCTTGAAGAGGGGAGGAGATGGTTCGATGGGCAAATAATCACCCCCATGCAAGTTAGGTGGTCGTGGAGAATGGGGAAGAGAGGTTAGAGACATTTATATAAAGAAAGGGATTAGGGAATTAACATGGAATAGGGTATTGTATTAGCACTTATTCATAAACTGACATTTTAAAGTAATCACATGTCATGTGAAGTTGCGGAGCTACCAAACCAATTACTTTTGACATGGAATTGTATTGCACATTTACCAATGCAAATTATGGCTTTTTAGTCCGACATCTTCTTGTTTGTTGTATCAATCTTAACCCAAGTATGTTTTGAGAAACAAGGAGAAAAACATTTTAGTCAAATACATGCAATAATCATATTGTTTACAGACACAACAGATTTTGTTTGCACAAATATTTTATATAAACATTTTATCAGTTCAATCTAATGTTTTCCTTTTTTCATCTTTTTGATGTCACAAAATTTGCTTGAGTTACAGTCAACATTTTCATACTGGTATGGAGGGATTTCTCTGGGTTGCTAGCAACTATGAATTGCTGGCATGTTTCTGACACCTGCCAATTGAGTTCAGCAACAATTTTATATTATCATTATTATATTAAACTCGGGCTTCTACGAGTTTGGAACTGCAAATGAGATTTACTAGCGATATTTTCACACTTAATAATATCATCATCTAACGTAAATGACCTTCTCAGGGAATTGCGAACATGTATAGTCACACTGGCTGGCATGATTGGCATGTACCTGAATGTTTTGGTAAGTGTGACTAATTATTATTGCCTATTCCCCATTTAAGCATATGATTTTCCTAAGCTGATTACAGTTTCCTGTATTACACACGTTTAGTAGTGTCTAGGAACATTCAGATAATAAATTCAGTTTCTATGATATTCTATTCCAGTGGTTTTTCTGTGTGCGTGCGTGCGTGTAAATTCAAAGCTGTTGGGACATGGGTGGATATGTTTCTTGGAGTTATTTGTTTCATTAAAATCTTTGCAGCTACCTGTGTGTGCATGGGTACATGTGCCTGTCCATGCGTGTTTGTATGTGTGACTTTAGAGCTTCTTCTTACTTGCTTTTCATCTGCTTGCTCTTTGGAGTTCAGGCACTTTCGCTTTTGTTTCGGTTGTTTGCCAGCTGGTTGGCATATGTACGTTTGAAGATACCCAACAAGGGAAGATTATGTTTCACTCTTATGGCGCCACACTGTATCAGATGTTTACGTTTGAAGATACCCAACAAGGGAAGATTATGTTTCACTCTTATGGCGCCACACTGTATCAGATGTTTGTGCTTTTCACCACGTCAAATAATCCAGATGTATGGATTCCTGCATACAAGTAAGATGTGTTGCGGGCTTGTCTTATTTATTTATTATTGTCTATTGTTTTGTATACAAAGTTTATGGTCCACTTTTGCAACGCAAAATCACAATTTTATCAATCGTTCATCTAGATGCTGATCAATATTAATGTTATTAAAATTTATAATATCATTTATAATTCCTGTCATTTCTTAGCCATATGAGTATTTATTTTGTAGGGCTACCTTTATGGTGCAAAACACATATTAAATGGAGACAAATTAAATGCATATTGAGATCTTTTTTGTTCGGGGAATTTGGTACACTTTCTTAATAATTTAGTGTTTGTAGTTGTAGAGAATGAGAGAAGGCAAAAGATGTTATCCAGCTAACCACTTTCTTAATAATTTAGTGTTTGTAGTTGTAGAGAATGAGAGAAGGCAAAAGATGTTATCCAGCTAACCTTAACCTCTCTTAAATAGAGAATAAAGTTGTAGAGAATGAGAGAAGGCAAAAGATGTTATCCAGCTAACCTTAACCTCTCTTAAATAGAGAATAGGAGGATATTACAAAATAGGTATGAGGTAAAATCATATCCAATCACATCTCATAATATCTCAGTAATATCTTATAATATCTCCTAAATTTAAATACTGATAATATCTAACGCTCCCTCTCAAGCTAGAGCATATGTTGCTATATACGTCCAGCTTGGTACAAATCGACATAAAACAACTAGTTGCACGAGGTTTGACAATGTCATCTTTGTGCAAAATACTTGAAGACGTCAGCAATAAGAAAAATGTAGTAACAACCTGTAGGAATCCTAGGCAGGTCAGCTAGTAGAAACCCTTAGCGGATCAACCAATAGAGAGAAATCTTAGGTGGGTCACCCAGTAGAAATCCTAAGCGGGTCAGCCAGTAGAGAGAAACCCTAAGCCGGTTAGCCAGTAGAAAGAAACCCTAGACGGGTCAGCTAGTATCCAACCATCGGGACGTGGCTGTTCAGGCTAAACAGTACATGTAGTACTGTTCATCGATGAACAGTAGCATGCGAATAGTGCCATTTCCCCCCTTTTGATGTTTATGTCAAAGATTTGTTAAACGAATGATGTAGAAATAAAAAATGTTGTCAGTCACAGAAGATGTCGTAGACGCCGAGGGGAGCAGGAACACCATGCAAAACCCTCTCGATGGCCTTGAGATCAAAAAAGATGGGAGAAGTTGCTAGGATTGAGTAGGCTCTGATACCATGTGGAAAATGAGATAAGACAAAAGATATTATTCATCTAACCTTAATCTCTCTTAAATGGAGATTAGGAGGATATTACAAAATAGGTATGAGATAAAAATATCCAATCATATATCATAATATCTCATAATATGTCCTAAATCTAAATACCAATGATATCTAACAGTAGTAATGAACAGTGATATATATATATATATATACCACTAGGAGCTTTCTCGAAAGCAAAAAAGGTGATTTACTCCGTACAAAACAGCGGCTGTGTTGAGATCTTGAGCAGTCCCTTTTAGGGTTTAGATTGAGAGTTTTGTGTGAGGGTTTTATTTGTGAGATTCTTGTGTAAACCCTATTTGTATTCTATCTTTCTCTATTAGTAGATCTCCCCCTTCTTGCCCCGTGGACGAATGCAATTTGCCGAACCACGTAAAATTGGTTGTATCGCTTTTGTGTGATTTGTAATAGCTGTTTAGGTTCCCTCGACGCGCAGTCCTAGAGCTGACGAGAGGAAGAGCAAATATCCCACTTTGATGGGATATTAGGCTTCAGATTCTTGTTCCCTTTGAGAAACAAGAATTCTTATTGCGACCTGACTCTCTTGTTGTGCTGCCGAAGTGCTGCCGAAATTTCCGCTGCGCGCAACAAGTGGTATCAGAGCCCAGATTTCAGATCTAGGGTTTTGGAATTTGGTGGAGGAAGATTCTTGTGTGAAGCTTAGTTCTTGGAGTTCTCGGCTTCGGTGGAGATAGCATTAGGAGTTGCCGTTGGAGATTTCGCTTTCCTCGTGTGGATAGGAGATCTATTTGGAATCCGATCTAGAGTTCAGTTGGGTGGTTCCTAATTCTATCAAATTTGTTCTTTCTCTATAATTTGGAGTTAGTTTGCAATGGGAGAAGAAGGTGAAAGCAGCAAATCGATGGCGAGTACAATACAAGTTGGTTTTCAGAACACCATAATTAGTGTGGTGAAATATGACAGAAAAATCAACTTTGGTTTGTGGATGAACGACGTACAGGATGCGCTCAATGCTCAGAACTTGGAGGAGACCATTATTGTCACGCACCGCTTCCCAAAATACCGGGGAATCGGGACGTGAACAAGCCCGCGACGTATTAGACTGAGGAGAGATAAGTGCTAGACTTCTTCTTCTCAATCTAATACGCTAAGCGTCTGGAAATAAAACAATGCAAAGGCACAGGTCCCCGATCACAATAGCAAGAATATAAAGACAACTCAGAATAAGGAATAGACATATCATTAAAAGTAAATCATCCCAGACATAAGATATGGGTCCAACATACCCTTATTACAACAACAGTTCAACTAGGAAATAAGAAATACATAGTCCATAATAAAAGGAGATAAAATAACTAAATCTATCATCAAACTAAAGAAAAGTACGGTAAAAGAGTTTTAATATCCAACTACTACTATGAAAGAAAACCACTACGCTCCAGTTGGTTCTTCTACTCCTTCTGCAAGACACCCCTGCTAAGAATCTTATGGCTCCTATACTATCCCAAACTGAGGCTGCTCATCTCCTAAATCTGACGTATACCCAGAAAATAGGAGTACGTCAGCGTGTGAAACACACGGTAAGATCCCCCAAGGCAGGAACAAATACAATAACACTAACAATAATATATGCATGGTCAATGCTATAACAGAAATAGAACATGTGATAATAGTAATAATGTTAGAGGCATGCAACTGGAATACTAATAATCAGAAGAATCTAAAAATCAACTAAGTAACAGGATCATGCAGGTAGCGATCAGAAAACATCCAAGCAACAAGGTCATACAATAGATGGAATTAATACTTAAAAATCTACAACTCGAGACGTAGTACGTCGAGCGAAATAATCCAAACAAGGAAACCCTCATGTATATACCATATATCTCGAATTGTAAATAATTAAATACTAATCCCGATCTATGTATGAAAAGAAGTACAACCGGCCTATCTCTCACAAGAATCATACTTAGCCAAGAATCGATGTCATGTAACTAGCTATCACATCACTCATCTCAAATAATCAACAATCTCAATATCCCTGCTCCTCAGACCCACCCCAGGCTGAAACAAGGCGCTGGCGCGAGCCTGGAAATAAATAATAATCTCGATATCACCTCACCTCAGACCCACCCCAGGCCGAAACAAGGCACTGGCGCGAGCCTGGAAAATACATCAATAATCACATATCACGATACCTCAGACCCACCCCAGGCCGAAACAAGGCGCCGGCGCGAGATTGGAAAATAATCAACAATCACATATCACGATACCTCAGACCCACCCCAGGCCGAAACAAGGCACTGGCGCGAGCCTGGAAAACAATCAATAATCATAACCGCTCACATGGACCAAGACTTCTCACCTTAATTCTCGTAATTCCAAGTCAACTATACACGAGATCCTAGATCCTAACTGTGTCATACAGGTCACTATAGTCAGGTACTTCTCATGATTCTTAACATGGAATAATAAACGTAATTACGCTAAGCGTCAAAGTCATAAAGTGTGAACAGGGGGTCGTGATCACATGCAAGAAACATACGAAAGTAAAGCTACTATTAACAATGCAAGATGAAACTACCATTATAAAATTTCAAGAATAATTTACTTTAAAAATTATCTCCTTTATTAATTCCAAGAATAATTTCCTTTAAAAATTATCTCTCATTATAAAATTCTAGAATAACCTTCTTAAAATATATTTTATTATTCTTTATAAACAATAATACTTTTAATTTTATAAATGATTTCTATGATATTTTATAAAATAATCTAAAATACTCTTTTTCTTAAAATAAAATCCTTTCAGTCATAACAATTATTCAAAAATACTCCTTATCCAAACCAAATTATTTTCTCGAAATAATCTCTTTTAAAATATTTTCCTCGTTATAAAAAATCCTTAAAATACTCTATAAATATATTCTTCCTTTCAAACAACACGAAATTAACCATAAACTATTTTTGACATACTTATTCATCATTCATAGCATCATTTCACAGCATATATTCACCGTGATATTATCAACAACTACACAATTAAAATCATATCAGCACAAACTAATCTACGCATATACATAATAAATTCATAAGAGATAAAAATGAAATTAACAAGACAACGGCAAGAGGGATCTTGCCTGCGAGGCCAATGGGGCCTGTCGACGATGCGACGGCGTGCTCGGGTTGGCGGGGCTTTCGACGGCAGCGACAACAGCGACGAGTGGAGGATTTGGCGACGGATCTGGATGGTGACGACGAGGTGGCGGCAGCGGGCTCGACGCGGACAGCGGTGGGGCGAGCTCAGGTCGACGGGCTCGACGGGAGCGGACACAATGATGGAGGTGCGGGGAGGAGGTGCTGGCAGCGCGGGTGGTCGTGGGTGGAGAGGAGGTCGAGCAGCGGGGGTTGTGGGCGAGGTTCAGGAGGTGCAGGCGGTGCTGCAGGAGGCGGAGAAGGAGGAGGTGCTGATCTTGGTGGAGAGGGGAGGCTGGTGGTGGTGCGGCGGAGGCGGGTGGTTAGGAGACGAGCCTGGAGGCGGTGATGGGTTTGATGAAGAGAGAAAATGAGAGATGAAGAGAAGAGAGGTGATGATGGTGACGGGTTGGGGAAGATGAACAGTAGAGAGAGGCGGCTGCGATTTTGAAAAAGAGAGGAGAGAGAGAGAGAGAGGAGGTATATAATATATATATGGTTGTAATTAGGGTTAGGGTTTAGGTTAAAATAATTAAAATAAATACTTTTGGGTACTTAAAAATTAAACTAATAGGTTAGGG